AGTGCTGGATTTAATAAAATTAACGTTGTGAAATCTGGTCATGATATAATCAAACCTCTTTTGATTCACATCTTACATCTTTCTTTTAAAACATCTATCGTCCCGAAAAAATTAAAAATTGCACGAATCACACCGGTTTTTAAGACTGGCGATGACTCCATTATTTCTAATTATAGACCTATATCTATATTACCGTGTTTTTCAAAATATTTTGAAAGAATAATGTATAACAGGCAATTTAACTATTTATTAGAAAACGATATGTTGCATTCAAAACAGTTTGGTTTCAAAAAAAAATATTCCACTGAAAATGCAGTGGTTGAAATAGTCAAATAAATAACAAACGCATTATGTATTAACTACTTTACATTAGGAGATTTCGTTGATCTGTCAAAGGCTTTTGATAGGGAAGATGGGGGCGCATTGATCACCGGGGCAGTGTGATCTTTTAGCTTTTACTCGTTTACTTTTGCCTTAATTTAACAGAGATTGCAATTTAATTAACCATTATACTACCCTTTATTATTTAATCGTAATCATTTTTGATAAGATCAACTTCAGCGTTAAGAAAATTGAAAAGACAGTTTTTCATCATGAAAAGTGATTTTTAAAAGTTGTAAACAAGTTCAAATAAAATTTTAACTAGATTTCCGTATGACTTTACAACCAATTTATTGTAAACAGTAACCAACTCAAAAAAAAAAATTATTATAAACTTAACACATATGATGTGTTAAGTTTATAATAAATTTTTTTTTTTGAGTTAGTTACTGTATTTATAGAAGTTATTGGCATCAATATATCAACTGTACCAAATGGGGCACATTGATCGTTCATTATGCGGGGCTTATTGATCGAAGGATCAAAGTGCCCCATATAACTTATATTATAAGACTTAAATTTTTTGTTTAAATTTTATACATCTAAACTTATGACGAATAAAAAATCTTTATGTTAATTTTTAAAATTTCATTTTTAAAATGTAATAGTGTTAAAAACTAATATTAATAACATTAGTTTTTAGTTTTACATAAGTTTAACAATTAGTTTACATAATATTATTATATAAAATATTTTTTTTAAGAATCATTTTATTTTACTTTTTTTTTAATTTTCAGATCTTTAAATGGTTAGGCATAGAAAAAAAAAAACAGACAGAGTTGCTATATCATGTGATACAATGAAAGCAGCTGTTAATGAAGTTTTAGAGGGCAGACCAGTGAATGTTGTAGCTCGCAAGTTTAGCTTAAATCAAATGACTTTAAAAAGATATTTTAATAAAAAGAAACTCAATCCAAATGAATTTTTTAAGCCTAATTACAACAATAAACAAGTTTTTACCGCAGAAGATGAAAAAAGTTTGTCAAGTTATTTACTACTTGCATCAAAAATGAACTTTGGACTTTCAACTATGGAAGTCAACACGGTTATTGGCACACGAGTTTGCTGTAAAAAATAATAAGATCTGCCCTTCATAATGAATCAAGTAAAAAATTGCAGGGATTGATTGGTTGCAAGGTTTTATGAAAAGACAACCAGAGTTGTCTTTACAAACACCTGAAGCAACAAGCTTTGATCGATCAACTGCCTTTAACCGACACATTCTAGGATAATTTTTCCAAAATCTAAAAACAGTAAGAAATCAATATAAGTTTGATCCTTATTGCATATATGTTGATGAAATTGGTTTAACAACGTTACAAAAGGCATTAAAAGTGTTAGCAGGTAAAGGAAGTAAACAAGTAGAAATTTCTGTTAGAGCTTTGGATCTTGCAATTCAACATGAAATTACAATGCTAAGTTTTCCTCCCTATTGTACCCATAAATTGCAACCATTGGATAGAACTGTTTTTGGATCATTAAAAAGGTTTTACAATGCTGCGTGTAATAATTGGATGGTCACAAATCCAAGACCTATGACCATTTATGATATTGTTTCAATAGTTCGCTAACCATATACAAAAGCTTTCTCACCATCTAATATACAGAGAGGATTTTAAGTAGCTGGCATTGAGTCATTAAATCCAGAAATTTTTAAAGATGATGAATATTTATCATCATCAGTTACAGATCGTGCTGCTCCAAATGTAGTAAACACAATTTTTGTGGAACCTGAAATGACTATAGCACATGTTGATGGCATGGAGCCTAGAATGCCTGTAGTACATCATGAAACAATTTTTTTGAACAAAGTGTCACCAAGCATTGCTTCATTACTCTCACCTGAAGTTTTGAAACCTTACCCGAAAGCATCTGCTAGAAAAAGAAGTGTTAAAAGTAGGCAATTAAAAACAAGGATTTTGACTGATACTCCAATCAGAAATGAAATTCGTTTGTCAGAAGAAAAGAAAACCCTAAAACAAATCAACCAACAAAAGAAACTCGTCGCAAAAATAATCTTGTAAACTTTAGTTCTAATAAAAGTCTTGTATGAATCTTGTATTTTCTTTGTAAACTTAAAATACTGTATTCTTATAGACTTTATAAGCTTCAAGTTTTGTAAAACTTAACACATATATATAGTATTGGACAAAACATTTGCAACCTACATAGAACAATGCTAAAAAGTGTTCTTAATGTCTTAAAAACGAAACAAACTATACTACCACAGCAAACAGTTCAGGAGTCTAGAGTCATAGCATGCCATGACATGAGCAATCAGCTGACAGGTGACAGCACACAGGCAGATTTTCGTTGACTAGTGCCATTTTGCAGCGGACAAAACAAGTGCAACTTTTTTGGTTTGTTTCATTTTTTTAGGTCTGGTCCGTGTCAACGTCACGGAAGTTTTTTAATAATTAAAGGAAGTATCCAGAAGTTTCTAGAAGTTTCCAGAAGCATGCAGAAGCATCTGAAAGCATCCAGAAGTATCCAGAAACATTCAGAAGCATCCAGACGCATCCAGAAGCTTCCAAAAGCATCAAAAAGAAGCATCTAGAATCTTCCAGAACAGGTTCACACAGGTTCATTTTACTATATAAGAGACATGTAAACATTGATCTTTTGCAAGGGTTGTTGTAATGTTGAAATATGCCATGTTTTTTATTAAAATATTTATTTTTACTAAAAGAGAGATTGTTCTACTTTAGTTTAGTAGTTAATAACTTTTTATACCTAGATCGGGTTGTTCGCAGTTTTCAAAATACTGCAACGGCGATCAATGCGCCCCCAACTCCCCTACTGTAAACCATAATATACTAATAAAAAAACTTGAGCATTATGGAGTAAAAAAAATTAACTTATTTGGGTTCAAAAGTTATTTGACCAACAGAAAACAATTTATACAATATGAGCAAAAACAAACAATTCCGTATGCAGTAACTTGTGGGGTTACCCTGAGCTCTATTTTAGGACCATTAGTATTCCTAGTGTATATAAATGATTTAAATTTAGCAATAGACTTCTTAAATTGTATTCTTTTTGAAGATGACTCTAATCTTCCCGAAGAGGTATTAAACACTTTTTGAAACAGCAACGAACAGTTGGGTAAAGTTAATGAGTGGTTGATAAATAATAAACTCTCTCTAAATAAGGATAAAACCAAATTTATTTTATTACATAAAGTAAATAAATAAGAAAATTTTTTGATTAAGCTGCCAAATCTAATAATCAATAATGCTAACATTAAAAGAGAAACTTTTTGGGATTAATATTAGATGAACATTTACGTTGGAGTGATCATATAAATGTTTTGAGAAAAAATATCAATAAATATTACCATGATATATAGGGCTAAACATAATTTATAATAGCCATTAAATGTCTATAAAATTACACCAAGTTTTAATGTTCATGTATAAAACAAAGATGAGATCCGTCTCCTAAAATATTTCAGTCCTATTTTGAAAAAGTGGAGCATAAATACCCGACAAATTTTTCAGGTAATAACATTGTCCCTAGATATAATTCAAAACAAACTACTTATTCAGTTCAATATTTTTAACCTTATTTGTAAAAAAAGTTACTTAAAAATGCAAATACCAAAAAAGATAGTATACAGCAGTTTAAAAATGAATCGAAACAGGTGTTATTACTTATGGATTTTAGCATATCCGATTTTAAATGCTTCTTTTAAATAAAAATTCAATTATATAAAATATGTCTCAGAATGTATCAACTCATTAATTCAGTTATGGTGTTTCCTCTAATCTTAAATGTTATTGTTGAAATCTAATCTGAATTCTTAAATATTTTTTCTCTTCTTTAACTATCAATTAAATGTTATTTATTTTACTTTTATACAAATTAGTTTTAAAATATATAAATATATAGTAAGGCTATTGTATGAATATATACGTATATAATACGTATATTGAAAATACGTGCTATTTAATTTATTTAATTACTTTTTTTTTTTTTTTTTTTTCGATTTTCCATATTTACTTGGTTAATACTCTTAACATGAATATTGTTCTTGAAGTATTTCTTAAACTAATTGTTATCTATTTTTAATTTTATAGTGTTCAATAAATAATTTGAGCTGCCGTGGCGCAGTGATTAGAGTTCTGGCTCAGAACCCAGAGGTCCGAGGTTCGACGCCAGCTCTAGCCTAACAAGCGACATTGGTACGGAAGGAGGCGTGAACTTCCGGTTAAATGCTCTCCCGCGGTGCTCTATGATAAGACCGTAAGGACTTCTGGGAGCACCTAAATACATACAAAAAAAAAAAAAAATTGTATTTGTAAAGAAATATAAATATATTATACGGTTATTGTATTGGGGCTCGGTGATAAGACAAAATAATGTCTTCTACTTGCCTCGCCTGTGTTTTTATTTATATACTTTTAAATTGTAAATGTTTTTAAACGGTTAAATAAATAAACAAAGAAAGAATTAAAAAAACAAAAAAAAAAGTTGATTTTAAGTTGATACAAATTTGTTTGTCACGTACTAATAGGGCCACTAAGTCAAATGCAATATGATTAAACAGTAAGTGCGCCCAAAATAAGTTTCTGTTAGGCAATCATCACCTTTAAAATTTTATAGTTTAAAATACTTACCAATAGAGCAATCAATTTTATAAGGTATAATTGCATCCGTCCAACGTAGGTTGTTACCATTAGCGATCGAGTAACCGTTGTTATCTAGGTTTGATCCTCCCATATCCTCGCCATTTTTAAGCGCTTGTTTTTGTTGTGGTGTTAATAAAACATCTCCAAAATTTACGTTTGGTATTTGCTGCGGACTGCTGGTAGCAGCTAAAAAATATATCGGGACCTATTAGTTTGTAATAGAAAAGTTAAAACTTTGAACACCTTAATAGTTTATTTTACTTTTATTATTATTGATAATACTATTATTATTATTTTTATTACATACATCCACTGTCATAAACTGGGTTAACCAGACACAATCCATGATGTAAAATGGTTACAGACAACACAAAAGAAAGTAACATCTAAATTGCAGAATTATTATATATATATATTATTTACACAAAGCGCATGATCTTTTTTTAATTATTACATAATGCCCTCCAAGAATACTTATTTTTTAGTTATACTAATATATATATATATATGTATATATATATATATATATATATATATATATATATATATATATATATATATATATATATATATATATATATATATATATATATATATATATATATATATATATATATATATATATATATATATATGTATATATATATATATATATATATATTTAAAAGTCATATATAGTATATATAAGTAAGTCTTATAAGTAAGACTTACTTATATATAGTATATATAAGTAAGTCATATATAAGTATTCAAGCAAAACTATTTTTTTTTTTAGTTTTAATGCCTTTAAAAAACCCATATCTTTTTAACTCAATGCTATTGAAAACATAAATTTCTATTGATTTCTGTTACCTTTAACATTCGTTGAGAACTATTTTTTTAATTTTTAATAATTTAAATCTGACATTTATTAAAAAGTCAAACTAAATATCAATAGCACCTGGATAAATAAAGTTTAGAAAAATTGACAGAATCTGAATCGATTTGTTTTGTTATAGTACAAACAAAAACGGCAGTTGTTTCCACAATAACTGCATATTTTGTGAGATCTGTTTTTTGTCAATAAAAATTTAAAAATAATTGGAAAAACAACGTATAAAAGTTTTTTATTTTTTACTTTCTTTAAAAAAAAACTTTTATACGTTACCATTTTAAATTTTATATAATTACGTAATAGTAAGTCATTTCGTTTTTTATAACTTTAGAAAAGTCAACAAACCAGCATTTATATAATTTATAAAACAATCACATGACAAAACAAAAAGTTTAAATATTTTTATCAACATTAACAATGAAGAAACTCTAATTGGTTGAACAATCCTATTATTTCTATTCTAAATTTAATAGCTATTATAATTATCATTCTGATTCGATTATGATTTAGATTCCAGTATTTTAATAAAGTTATGGCAACTGCTTTGTATGAATGTGAGTAGTTTCAATAGATTTTATTTTATCAACATCGATAGTTGATCAACTCAACTGTTAAAACTGTTGTGGTCTACCGCGTTATCGCCATTCAATTAACTTCCTTTTTATTGAACTCGCCCACTAACATGGAATGCATGCTACCACAAGCGTTTTTCAATTGTCCAGAAATGAAGAACTTTACACGAATTCATCAAAAACTTTCTGCATAGTTTTCCACATACATGTTGTACATTCGTTGGACATATAGGGTAGGTCTAAATATTCTCGCTTTATGTCCTGTCAACAATAACCGTTATCATTTTTTGAAGCAACTTGACATGAAGTTTCACTTTGGCCTATATTTTGCAAGCAAGGTTTTGTTTGCAGGGCTAGTTCTCAATCCACAAATTGCTGTGCTGCCTTGCGCTTTGTTTTATATTTAACATTATAATTAACCTCCGATCGAAAATATCAGTTGTGCCGTGGAAAAACACTTTGTATACTTGACTTTTCTTTTTTAATTTGATTGTCGGAAAGTATTTTCTAGAACAGGACCGTGGACTGTTTTGTTTGCCCAGTATCTTAATTAAACAGAGGATCTTCAATAACTTCTGGATATTGCCTAATCCAGAAATTATTTAAAGTTCTCTGTCTAATATCAGGTGCAATTAACTTTTTAACTTTGACTTATTAATTTATTTTCCAAACATTTTTGACGGCAGTGGCCACAATCGTTTTTCAAAGTCCATCTTCATCCTGTGTTGAACATCGTCTTAGCCACGTTTTTTTTCATGCAAGTTTCTCCTTCAAAATGTTTGGTGTTATTTAATTATTCTTATTATTGGTAATTATCATTGAAACAAATATATATATATAGTCCGTATGTATACTCATATTTGGCAATAATGCGTATAAATTATTCGAATATATATATATATATATATATATATATATATATATATATATATATATATATATATATATATATATATAGGGGAGAGTGGGGTAATAACAATTATTACCATATATTCATGATATTTATGGCTTATTATTTAGTCTAACCATTCGGTTAGAAACACTCAAAAGCAATTTTCATATATCTTATTAAAAAAATAAAAAATTAGATCAAAACCAAAACCTTCGGTGTTCGGAATTTATGAATAACATTTATTGATATTAATTACCCTACGTTCGTGGGGTAATTAATATCAATAAATGTTATTCATAAATTGTTACATCCATTAAATAAGTGCAAAAATTACAGAGAAAACCTCTGAATGTGTTTGTTCAACTTGTGCACTTCTCGTGGGACCACAACTTACATTTGTAACACATAATCCAGTCTTTCATGGGTGGATCATGATACTTTTGAATGAATACATGAAATAAATCCACTGAACATGTTGAAGCTTTTTAGTCTTTTTTGGCCTTTTTTATTTACATAATTAAAATGTAATAATGCAGCCACGCAATTAGGATTTCTGAAAAGAGGGTTTTCAATTTTTTGAATCTTTGGTTTCTACACACCCTTCGCACCAGCTTTGGACGACTGAGAATAAGGGTTCGGTCAGGGTTTTAGTCATGATTAAAAGTCATAAAAGACAAGTAAACTTTCATTTCGTTGAAAAGTATTCAGTTTAACTGGATGGTTTTAACATTGCGTAAATAATTTACGCAATGTTAAAACCATCCAATGATAGTTTACTTGTCTTTTATGACTTTTAATCATGACTAAAACCTTGACCGAACTCTTATTCTCAGTCGATGTATTTACATTTAGTTCTTGGTATTCCTATTGCTAGTCAATGTATTTATTCCAAATAATACCCAAAAAGTGTATTATTTGACATAAATATCATCAAAATAGTTGTGGTTGTTAAATATGTTTTGTAAATTAAAACAGCCACTGTAAAGATTTATTTAAATTTACTAAAACAATTTATAAACACTTTCATGTTTTTAATAATAAACGTCATTACTTCATTACAATAAACGTTTTGTCAAATAATGAAAAAAAGAAACAGGTTTCAAATCAAATAAAAAATAGAACTAAAGTAACTAAACTTTTTCAATAAAAAAATAATTTTTTTAAATATATAAGGAATTCTTTTAAAATACAAAAAAAGCAAACATCAGGCATATTACAATTAACAAATCTCAGCAAATAATAAAAACAAAGTGTCAATGAATAAATGTCAGCTTAACAAAACAAACTTAATATAATGGTTTTTTGTTTAAAACAACATAGTTCTTTGTATGATTTGGTGTAGAGTGTTTTCAGTGGTTTTTGATAAAAGGTAAAGAAATTTGAATCCCCTTCCCCCCTGCCATGCGTAATTTTAAGTTCCCACCCCCTTTAAAAAGTACGCACGTTTTTCAAATACCCCTTCCCCAACTTTTTTTTTTCAATAAAAAAGTATATTTAAAAAAAAAAGGTGAAGGAGGTACCTTAGATACTTTATACGACCCAAAAGCCCTTTGTTTGCGCAATTTCAAAACGTCTTCAAAAATATATACAATTTAATAAAGTTAAATTACACGTTATTAATGTGTGTGCTGGTTTATGTTAAGGACATCGACGGCAAAGACCGGAAATCGTTTTCCGGTTAAACCATATTTTACCTTTTTTTTGTTTTAAAAACAAACCAAATAAACTATACTTAAGGCGGACGTTTTTTTCAGGCACTTTACTACATTAGTGACCTCACTTATGGGCAGGGAGGGGGCAAGTGAACGATTCACTTTTGCAATGTGATACACAGTGCGAAATACACGGTAGGTAGTTTTGTGCTGATTGATCTGCATTTTCGAATAATATATCTCTATGGCTTGATTTTTGGACTGAGAAAGAAATTTTCAATGGAATATTGCGTAATTTTAAGGGGTTTTTATTGTTTATTTTCTAGCCTCTTAAAAAGATTTAAATTTGTTTTACAGGTTTTTAACAGTTGCGTTATAATAAAAAAAATTAAATTTCTTTTTATTCATATATTTTCATATATATATTGAATTCTTATTTATACATTTTTTGCAAAACTCGTTGTGTCAAAACGTCCAATATTGGCTAAACGCTTTCAAATTCTTCAAAAATATCTTTTCAGGTTTTGCGACACCTGTCTGTGGAGTTTTGAGACGTCCTGAAGTTAATGGTTCAATATACACAATATTATCTGGTTCTGACACTGGATAAAAGCAAAAAATTGCAATCAAAGATAAAAAAAAATTACCAATAATAATATTACCAGCAGCCGGTGCATAAAGCTCTCGACTAATAATTGCTGAAGAAAGTTGTTAAGTCACTGCTGGGCTTTCTATAACTTTGAACTATACGCTCTGGATTTTCAGAGGAAATTCAAAGCGTATGACTAAAACATTTGCTAAATAGTAAGATCTTTGATATAATCTTTTTAGCTTGCCACTATAGATAAATATAAATTATAGCAACAATCATATATGAGCAATAGAAGGAATATAAGTGATGCCTTAGTAGTTAAATATTTCAACAAACCCCAATCGTATTGTTCTAACAAACTATCATTTAACAATTTAATTAAAGTATCCCATGCACAAAACTCTATAAAAAGCATATTAAATGAAAACCTACAAAACATACTACTTAGATGTTGTCAAACTATTATATTATCTTTTATATTACAAGATTACAGGTTAATACAAGATTAATACAGAAATCACAAAAAGTTATTTTTATGTATTTGTACGCATGAAAGTAACTTTTTGTGATTTTTTTTTTTAATTTTGAGCAAAATTTTTACTTTTAGAATTTATTTTATCTAAGAACAGTAAAGAATGTAACTTAATTCTTCAAATTTTTTATTTTAATAAACTGCTTGCTAGTGGGCGCAAAATGTTTCCATCCCGTGTGGCGACTAATCTCGGTCTCCTCTTATATTTGTATATCTAGTTTTTAACCGTTTTCATGAAGTTGTTTCACTCACTTTTTTTTATCAAGGGGTGACATTAGGATTCGGTATTATAAAAATATTATCAGTTCTCTACTTATACAAATTTAAAAATTATTAAAAAATAAAATAAATTGTTATTAGTAATAAAAATTGTTTTTAAATAATCGCCTACTATCAGGGGCCGTTTTAAGGGTGTGTGTGTATATATATAAGGGAAAGGGGAGGGGGAAAGGTAGGTGGAGCGAAAGGGGAAATACGGTTGCTTCCATGCATACATGCACCTCCTCCCTTAATGTTTACAAATGTTTATAAATATGGTTTGGTTTGGTTGGTTATAATTAACAAAGTTTTTGCATATCTTAACGGTGACAGTTAAATTAAGTTATTGTTCTTTCAATTTTAATTTTTTAAATACATATAGTTTTTATATTAAGAAAGTTGTTTCTTTTCACTTTGTGGTGGTGTTTTTATTATAACAATAATTAAAAACAGCAACGTGTAGTTCATAATAGAAAAAAAAAAAAGTTTTTTTGGAGCCCCAGCTTGATGCCGGCAAAAAGTTGACAATTTCTG